TTATTTAGATTTTTATTAATGTTAAACCATGATCTACTAATGATGTTTATCTAAGCCTGCAAAGCAATTAATAACTTTTTTGATCAATACGAAAGGGGCAATTAAGAAAATAGTGATCATTTTTACCTAGACAGCTCCAGTCGCCCATATACCTAAATGAGTATGTACTTCTTTGCATATCGAACATTTAGCTTCCAGATCTGTATATTTAAAAACATCTCAGTACCATGCATTCGATTTAGTATATGACAAGAAAGGAAAGCATTTATGTATTATTTCACAGATTATACCTTTCTTTTCCAGAAACTTGGAAATCTTGATAATGCAATCTTGTGAGATATAATTACTCTCTTTAATTTGTAAGAATTCAGAAGTTTCAGAGTTTATCCAGGGATCGAATCCAGTTTTATTCTTATATCTTTTATATAACCTAGAACGAATTTTATCCATTAAAATACCTGGCAATTCTATTAATTTAGCTTCCCATTCCAAATATTCAAGAGTCAATGTTTTATTAGCTTTTGCCTGTGTATTTATGTTCCCATTTTATGTATATAACTGCACATCTTTTTAAATTAACAATAACCAACAAAAAAACAAATATGGCTCAGAAGACTTAAGCGAATTGTGCTAGTATAAGTTTAAAGCTTATGCTGTTACCTCAATTTCAATTCCACGCTGTTCACATTTAATATAGCAGGATGATACAAAGCATTGATTCTTTGATTCCCCAACTTCATATCTGCCTCCTATACCATTATCATCATCATGATCTAACTTGCATAGCAGGTATAAAGATTCATCAGTAATTCTATAATAATCGTCGTTTCTATCACTACCTTCTCAATATAAATCAGGATACTGTTTTAGTATTTTATTACAAAAGTAGGTATGGTTATAAGTTTGGTTATTTGGTTTTTTAGATTGAGATGTCAGTAGTACACTTACCAGTAAAGCTTTTTGTATTTTCAGGTCAAAAGAGTTAGAGGTCTGAGATTTAGTAGATTTGCTTACCATAGTTTTCGATAAATCATTTGAGTCAGATGATTTAGTCATATAAGGGTGAGACCTGAGGTCATACAGCATACATTCTTTACTATTTCGGGATTCTTTAGTAAAATGTTGTTTAATATATTGAATTTGCAAGTTAGAGAGTTTTGATATTTCGTTCGCACTATAAGATTTAACCCGTTTAATCTTATTCTTTCCTTTGCCGTTAAATAATTTATAAATCTTACAAGCTCTTTGAGTTTGCTTGCGGAAATTCTCACGTAAGACACCAGAAAGACAATTTCAAATTTCATCATAAACTTGAATTTTTGCCAAGTCATCTGCTTTTTTATTATTTCAGCAAATAGATAAATTATCATTAATCCTCCTTTCGAAACCTTCCGCATAATAATACCAGCTTAAAATTTCTTCTTGCTTAGCATAGATAGTATTCTTTTTAGCTTTCCTTACTTTTTGATATAAATGAGCCAATTCGATAACAATATGTTTGTCATTTTCATTGTAATCTAATATATCCAGCTCTTTATTTTTAATGACTTCAATTGATTCTTCTGATACAGGTTCCAAATATAATTCTTGTATAATTTTTTGCATCTATCCTTCTGAATTAGATCATTTTTAGTTTCAGTTACATAAGGGTGAGACCCGGGTTCGCACAGTTGATGCTCGGTTATATTATTATTTCAGAAGAAATGATACTTTGCATCTGATTATAACTTGGGTAGGCAACTATATAATCATGCGAAACTTTTGTTTCTTCAGACTGTATCAGTACCGATTTGCTGTTTTGCTCAAGTGGGACTTTTGGTCTCACTTTTTCACTACATAATTCTTCAGATGCAGAAGCATCCTCACTTTGTGAGACCAATATAGAGAATAATTCTTGTTCCCGAAGTTTCTTCTCTCTAATTCTCTGAATTATCTTTTACTAACCTGTTCCTTATATGTTAAACCCAGAAATTCATCTATTTCCTTGTCTTCTGATGATTTAATCTCTGTGCAAATAAGTGGTACAGAATGTTTGTGTGAATCATCCTTTAGTTAAGATGAAGACTCCTGATAGACATCAGAATTTGGGGCATTACCAGATATATCAGAATTTGAAATGTTTTCAGGTATATCAGATACCAGAGCATTTTTACTTCGAGAGATCACCTCTAAAGATACATTATTAGAATTTTCCGTTTCAGTAGAGATAGCATTAACTGAAAATTTAGATATACTTGTTTCTTTACCATTTTGCGATTCCTTCTGTTCTAATTTCGAAACTCTGGATCTGAGTTCGTTAAGTTCAGAATCTCTTAACTTTGAATTCTCTGCATTTTCTTTTGTAGATTGTTCTAATTCCACTATTCTAGCAACGAGTCCTGCTTCTTTAGCCAAGAATACA